GTCAGACCGGCCCAGGCTGCCACTGCTGGGGAGGGGCTGTTGAGGGCGAGGCCCACACCGCACCCCTCCCTGGGGACTGCTCGGGTTGGGGGTGGGGACTCACGCAGCATCCGGGCGGCCGCTCACAGACCCCAGCTGGCTCATGGCGCTGTTGGTGGCGGCTGCTGACGGAAAGGCAGCCTTGTGGCTGGAGTCCAGGATCTCGTGCCGGACCCACACCTGAGTGGAGACCGCAGCTGAGCTGACACCTCCCTGGGGCCTGGTGGGTGGCTTCACGGCTCCCAAGGCAGGGCTTGATCTCTTCCGCCCACCCAGATCCAGAGGCTGCAGCCCTGATGTCCTCCCCAGGTTCCCCAGGGTGCTTGGGCAGGGTGTCCTCAGGGAGCAGAGTCCTGCCTCCTGGCCACAGCAGGACCTCCGGGCCCAGGTCGCACCTGGCAGACATGTCCCCAGGATGGGCCAGTAGAGGAGTCCCACTCTCAGGGCTATCTGGGGCAGGCCTGCAAGGACAGTGTCCTAGGGCTCTGAAAGGGGACCTGGGAGAGGAACCACTTCCAAGCAGAGGGAACCCATGTTCAAAGGCCCTAAAGCAGGTGGGAGCCAATAGCAGAGGAAGGCAGCACAGGATGAGATCGGACCCTGGATGGTGTTGGGGTGGGGGACGGGGAGGGAGGTTGGGGACCCAGAGCCCAGAACAAAGTCTAGAGGGAGCATATCCTCTGGGTGGTGAGCAGACCTGGCCCCTCTGGGCCAGGCTAACATGTCTTGTGGGATCTGTGTCCCCTGGGGACCTCTGACAAGGCTGTCCCTCTGTATGTAGGGTCAGCCAGAGTGGGTAGTCCCAGGCCAGGGGAATGGGTATCTAGGGTTCCTTCTGGTTTGACCAGGTCCTACTGACAAAGAGGGTTTCCGGGAGGTGTGAGAGGCCTGGGGACTTTAGACCACCCCCTCCCGTGTGCCCCTGGGGGTCCTGGCTCTCTGAGGGTGAGTGGGAGTAGGGCTTGGCCAGATTCCTCTGATGGCCTGTCTGTGTAGAACGTCCGGAATGCTCATGACCTCGGCGAGAGAACCGAGTGTTTGCTTAATGGGATTCCTGGCGGGCTGAGCCAAGGGCACTGGGCACGTGTGTCTGGGTACACACACCTGGGCAGAAAAACTAGGCCCCGGGCACACACAGCCACACACAGGCTGTGACACACAGCCCCCCTCCTTGGGGCGCCTAGGCCAGGCATAGCCATGAACCCATGGCCTTCAACTCCCTGGAGCAGGGTGGGGGACCGGCATAGCCAGCCACCGATGTGAGTCCAGGTGCTGGCATCTGGGGTGGGGAGCAGCTGGGGGAGGGGCCGCCACAGGCCCAGTCCGGTCTGGCAACTGGGGCAGGGGAGCCGTGTGGGCCCAAGGGATCGGGACCAGCCCAGCACTTTGGTTTTCCTGCGGCCATCTTCCGGGTGCGAAGGGAGGGCCGAGCATGGTGCCTGGTTGGGCCGTGGTGGAGGCCCCAGCAGGGCAGGGAGGGTGGAGGGACCAGCTCCAAGTTCAAATTCCAGCTCACAGCCAAGTGACCTTGGGGAGGAGTCGGCTTAAGGCCCAGAGGGAGCCGGGTGGAGCCCTGGAATGGGGGAACCCCTCTGGCCCTGGCTCTGCCCCGTCTGGGAGCCTCCTGCTGCGGAGGGCCCAGCCTGGCTGGTAAGGAGGGCTAAGCCTGGGTGGGGAAGGGGTGGGCTCCAGGTGCGCTGGGGAGGCAGGCACAGGGGATCCGACAGACTGGGCGGGGCGGCATGCTGAGGCGCAGAGGCGCTGAGGCCCAGTCCTAGTCCTAGGCGGGCCCCAGGAGAGGCCCGCCGGGGCAGGGCCCTCCCCACTCCCCCCCAAGGGAGCTGGGGGAGCCGTGCAGGGGTAGGGAAGGAGAGGCGCCCCCAGCTGGGCCCTGGCCACTGCTGGGGCTGACTACCCCTGGAGCTGGGGCAGAGGTGGTCTTCGGGTACACCTCAGAAACACCATATGCCTGCCTACCCTCCTCCCTTGCCACCAGGGACACCTTCCCACGCAGGGGCGGCCCCAGGCCAGCCTGGCCCAGGGAGAAGGAACCTGGGGGAGCAGCACAGGCTCTAGGGCACACACAGGCCTCCTGCAACCCAGCACACAGCCTCCTCCTCCCTGAAACTCCCACATCCCTTGACCCAGAACTTGACCCTAGCTTGATGCTTCTCTGGCCCTGGATTCCCTCCTGGCTCAGACACCCAGGAAGTGCCTCCCTACCCGACACACAGGGAGCCACTGGCCGCAAAGGAGGCCTCAGCCTGTCTCTTGGAAGGGGGTTTGGGACCTTCCAGGGGCGGGGGAGAAGCCGCTTCCCACCCCCTTCGCTGGAGGAAGGGGTTCCGTCCGCTGAGCCCCAGGGCTGGGAGGAGGCCAGCTGACTCAGGGGCCACTGCCTTTAAAAAGTCCCTGCGCACCGGCACCACCCCAGGATCAGTCCGGGCAGAGCAGGCCGCAGTGGGACCAGGCTTCTGGCCGCAGGTTCCGCGCAGCCCTATCGCACCCCTGTTGTTGCCTCCTGCACTCCGGCCCGGCCCCCAGACTCCGGCCAGAGTCCCCATCGCACGGCCGGCTGGGGAGACAGGCCGAGTTAGACCGCCCTCTGTCCGCAGGGATTCTGGGTCGCTCCTCCGCCAAAGCGCGGGCGGGTGCCCGGCAGGTCGGGGTGGGCAGGTGGAGACCGTGGGGCGCTCACCTGCTCCTCGCGGCCCCGCGATCGCGCCGCCCGTGGGTCCCCTTGTCCGCGCGTCCGTCCGCCCGTCTGTCGGCTTCTCGCCTGGGCGCCCGGGCTCGGCAGCGGGAGGGACGCGCGGCTGGGCCGGGCCAGGGCGGGGCCGCGGGGAGGAACCTGAGCGGCAGGTTAGAGGCCCGGGAGCCGGCGGGCGCGGTGGGCGGGGCGGGGAAGGGGGGGGGCGGACGAGGACGCCCCGCCCCTCTGCCTCGACCCCGCCCCCCGGGGCTCCCTGCGGACGGTCCCCAACGCCCGTCCCGAGGGCCCCCTGGAAACGCAGACCCCACCCCCAGAGTTGGGGCTCCCATGGACGGGTAGGTGGATCGGGAGCCCCTCACTCGTGGGGATGTGCCGGGCGACGAGGCCCGGCGAAGTTCTAAAATCTTCCCGAGGCAGGCCTCGCTGCGCCCCGGCAGCTGCCAGGTATCCCTTGCCGGGTGTCCCCAAGCCTCAACTGCAGCAGCAGAGAGAGGGGCCTACCCTGGGCGCCAGGCCCCAGGGCAGAATCCCCTCTGGGGGAGGACTAGCGTCAGGCTTCATTGTGAGTGGGTGTCACAGGCAGGATGGGAGGCCAGAGACCCGGGAGCCCTGTGCTCCCAGCACCCCAGGCAGGAGAGGCTTCTCCTCCACAATCCAGGAAAGCCTAGTCTTTCTGTGCTGCCCCCGTCCAGCATGGGCACCCCCCAGAGGAATGGGGTGTCTGATGGGAGGGTGGGGATGCCTATGGCCTAGGCTGTTTGTTCAGTACTGCCAAGGCGGAGAACAGGTATGGGAGGGCACTCCAGGCTGGGGCTCCCTCCTTAGGCCTAGGCCCCACCCCCTGCCCACAGCGAGGGGTGGGGCAGGGAGTAGGTATCCTTCTTCCAATCCGACTCCCCCGGTCTCAGCCAGCTGGCCAGGGAGGAAGGAGAGAAAGGGCAGAGGGCAAGTCCAGGCAGTGGTGGGCACCCCCAGGCTTGTGCAAAGACCCAAAGATCTGGCTACTGTTCCTGGGGTGGGGGTGGAAAAGGGTGCATCAGGAGGCAGGGTCCCAAGGGCAGCAGGCCTTTGTTTACCACGGCTGACACAGAGCACTTTCTGGGGAACTCCCGGGGAATGGAGCTCCCCCTCCTCAGCCCCGGGGCGGGTCTCCCCTCCAGCTGTCTGAGGCCTCACAGGTGAGCTCTCGGAGTGGTGCAGGAAGTGGCCTTCCTCTCCGGTCCGGCCCTGCCCGAGCCCTGGCAAGCCCTGGCTTCCTGGATCTCTCCCCTACCCTGCTGGGCACACAGAGAAGGCACAGGCCTGCCCTCATCCTGCCTGGAGCCTGAGCCCAGGCGGGCAGGCACGCACAGAAGGGAGCAGCAAAGGTGGGCAGCACTGCGTTTCTGAAATTAAAGTCCCTGTCATCAGACTGGGAGGCAGCAGGGGGCCTCTGGAGCCACCTGGAGCCATGGTGTTCTCTGAGGACAAGTGACTGTCCCCTCTGTGTGGCCAAAGCAATAGGGGTGTCAGGTCCTGGCCTCGATCCTTGGGCAAGAGGTCATGAACGCTTAAGGCCACAAGTGTCATGCTGCAGGCCTGCCCGGGAGCTGGCTGAGCATTTCCACGGAGAGCAAGTGCACCGGTCCCATCTTCCCAAGTCCCCTGGGGGATGCCATGGCGCCAGGGGCAGGCAGCTCTGCTGAACACCTGAGCAGCAGGTGAGCACAAGGGCGCCCACATGCGGCCCCTGGGGCCACAGATGTGCACTGGACCAGAGCCAAAGCCAGCGGAGGGGAGAGTTCCTGCTCCCACTTGCCCCTGAGAAGGACAAGAAGACGGAGGGGGCTGCTGCTACCCCTCTGCTGAAAGCCGGTCTCTGTGGAGGTCCGGGACCAGCCCTGAGGCCCGGCTTTGCTGCTTTCTGGGGGAAGCACTGCTCCCTGGGTTTCTGGGTGAGGCCTGGGCGGGGTGTGCTTCTGTATACAGAGAGAAGCCTGGAAGAGGCGGGCGGTCTTAGAAATGCAGGCAGCTACACACGTTCCTTTATTCGACAACATGGCCAAGAGAAACCGTCTCGATGTTCAAACAGTTATTCCGAACGCAGACAGGGCACGATGCAAACGAAGGCAAGTTACTGGGGAACCTGAACTCAGAGTCCTTCCAGGAGCCCTTCTGGTCTGCGGACACATCCAGCACAGTGCACACTCCTGACGTTTCTCTGACTGAGGCCTGGACTGGAGCCCCGAAACCCCTGCCCAGGGCAGTGGCAGGCTGTTCTCTGTCACTCACCCGTTCCCTGCCTCCCTCCCCTCAGTGCGGGGGCTTTAGACCACATCCCTGCAGAAGCCCCAGAGGGAAGGGGCTGCCACTGCAAAAATCCCCCCAAACACCAGAGCTTGCTGGCTCCCTGGCATTTTTCTTTCTGTTGCAATGCTGGTGTACCCTCGTCCAGGACTTGGCCTGCTGTGGGCCACGGTCCTGGGCTCCCCACCACCCTGTAGCTCCAAGGGGACCAGTGTGGAAAGTACGGAATCCCAGCAATTGTGTGCAAACGTGCACCGTCCTCACCCACTCCCCTTGGCGATCAAGCAGGTTGGCGCAGCTGAGGGAGCCACCAGGCATCGCCGAGCACCCAGGACGTGGCTTCTGTCCAGGGGTGTCCCACCCAGGGTGGGGGATGCCAGGCACCGCTTGCCTAGCTGACGAAGGCAGCAATGGCCACCAGCTGCAGGACGGCCTCCAGGCCATGCAGTGCCAGGAGCGTGGTGCTGAGGACGCAGTCTGCCCACAGCACCAGCGTCTGCCAGAGCAGGAAGTAGGTGGACAGCAGGGCGCCGCCTGCGGTAAGTACCAGGCTGATGGCCAGCGGCACCTCAGCCTCCGTCAGGTTGCCCTTGGTGCCTGGAGAGCAGAGCAGACGGGTGAGTGGGCGCTGGGCTCAGGGACACCTACTCTGACCCGGGTGTGCCCAGGAGGGCTGCGAGGTGGTGGGGAGGCTGAGTGCAAGCTTGTCACCAGCACGGCTCTCTGGACGCAGGGCTGAGGACCTCCGGTCAAAGGTCCTGTTGGGGCCACATCACTCATGAATCGTCAGAAAGCAAAGTGTGACAAAGGGTGTGTTCTCCCTAGAGAGGGTAAAAACCAGTCGCCAGATAACGCTTGAATCTCAGCCTCTGGGTCAGTTGTGGGGGTGGGAGAGGGCATTTCCTTTTCTAAAGACGATCCCAGTTGCATTCTGATACCTCGTCCTAATTCCAAATGGACTGAGAAGTTTTTGTTTAAAAATTTCCAAAAATTGGGGCGCCTGGGTAGCTCAGTGGGTTAAGCCTCTGCCTTCAGCTCAGGTCATGGTCTCAGGGTCCTGGGATCAAGCCCCGCATCGGGCTCTCTGCTCAGCAGGGAGCCTGCTTCCTTCTCTCTCTCTGCCTGCCTCTCTGCCTACTTGTGATCTCTGTCTGCCAAATAAATAAGTAAAATCTTAAAAAAATTTTTTTTTCCAAAAATATTTTACTCTGGGCTAAGGCCAGCTCTGGAAAATGCCATGTATGCCTGTAAAAAATCAAACCAAAGCAAACGTGAGTATTTTACAGACAAATGGCTCGATCACAGGAAACGCTGATCCCTGGCTGCTGCGGCGGACCCAGGGGCCCAGCACCATCCGCCTCCCTCCCAGGTGCGTGGGCTCGTCTGTGACAGCGGACACTGATAGCCCTGCGTGCCCAGCATGATGGCCCAGGAGACTTGCTCCTGTCCCCTGAAGAGTCCTGAGGCTCTGCCGACAAGGGCGTGCACCCACTTCCTCGCTACTGACTGGGCGTCACTGGTGTGCATGTGCAAGGGGCCTGGGAGCGCCAGCTGTCATCGGCTCTACCAGCTCTTCCAATGGAGGGAGTGTTTCCCAGACGTATTCGCAGAACACGCATGTAAGATCCCATCGTGGAACACAGATGTGCTGGCATGTGTGTGCCTGTGAGTTGGGCAGAGGCGGAAGAGGGGGCTGGAAGCCTGCACCCTGTGTGCTGAGCACTGGCTGGGCTGGGCTACAGGGCAAAGCTCACGCTGTTAGAGAACTGAAACGGGGCTGCCTGAGGGCCCCTGCATGGCCCTGGAGCTGGACTGAGGCGGCTCAGGGAACCCTCCCACATCTCCAGGCTCCGCTGGCCTGCTGGGACTCGGCAGAACACTCCAGCTCCTTCTCCAGACTGCTGAGGCCAATGGGAGGGGAAGGAAGGAGATGAGGTGAATATTTTGGGGCTCTCGGGGCTGTGCGTCCCCCTGCAGCTTCTCAGGACAGGCTTCCAGTGGAAGCTGCTCTGCCAAGGCCGCTGCCAGAGTTGTCCTGAATAAGCCAACCAATGCTTCGTGACATCGTAAGGGGAGACCTGCAAAGCGAGTGGCTGAGTGGTGGGCTCTAGGAAGCACGTGATAAAGGATGGACATCATAAAGGGTTCCCGGCCCAGAAGCAAGGAATTCTGTGGCCCTCTGCACTCTACGGTCTCCAGCAACTCACCAAGATACAGCCGAGTCACTTCCAAAATCCCCATCAGAAGCAGCAGAGTCAGGTCGAGGACCAAGTAAGGATGAGGATAACTGAAAACCTGACCTGCAAAACAGCGGGCAACAGAGCAGAACTCCAGTTATGCAGGGGCGGGGAGCAGCAAGGACACCTCCCGTGGGCCTCTGCGGTGAAGACTCACTTTTATACATCATCATCAGGAGCGTAGCTAGGAAATACAGGGCACAGTAGGCCCCACTCAGGTAGAGCAGCAGCTGCAGAGAGACGGACGAGAGCTGGCCAGCGGTTAAGGACTCACGGGCCTAGAGACGGGCCCTGCCCGTGTGTCCACCCCAGGGGGCACACCCCGCCAGGTCTCCAGAGCCACACCTGCAGGTGGCCACAGGGACCTGGCTGCCGGCTCCCTGCCTGGGGCGGAGCAGTGGGCTTCCACCCGTCTCCTCTGGTCTCACAGGAAGTGTCCTAGTCTGGAACAGGAGGGCTGCATCTGTCCCTGGTGACTGCAGGCAGGATGGCCCTGGAACACCAGGCTTCCTTGGGGGCATCACCCTGACTGTGGCCCAGGTTACTAGATAGAAAAGAATGACTTTTTTTTTTTTCATTTTCTTTAAAGAAAATATATCCTTTTTTTGTGCTGTTAAAGATCTACCAACCCTACCATTTTGTTTATGGTAAAAATGTTCAAAGGAAGGGGCCTTCACTGTCTTGCCCCGGGGTTGGGAGGGTCCTGGTGGGAGGCAGGCAGGCAGCCACCCACCCATTGCGCAGGGGAGCCAGCCTGTCCCACTGAAGACTCATCACTCTCTAAATCTGTTCATGAATGTCCCTCCCATTTAACCAACTGAGCCACCCATTCAACTCCATCTAGAAGTAGAGTTTCTACCAGAACTTAGAGAAAGGGTGTGTGTGGGGTTTAAAGGAACAGAAAGCTGGAACTCAAAGCCGCCTTCATGTGTCCAGCAAACTAGCTCTTGGGTGCCGTCCTGGGGATGCCTGGGCTGTGGCCAGCTAAGGGACACAGGGACACAGCAGAAGGATACCACCGCAGAGGAAGCCCTCCCTGGAAAAGAAAGCGTATCAGTACGTGAGGCCGCAGGTCCAACCCGGTGCCTACCTGGGCCATTTCCGGCACTGATGGAGGATCCCGGCTTCATTCTTTACTCCTGTATTTATAGAGAGAAGCCACCTTTATCTGGGCCCGTAGCTAGGTCCCTTGTCGTCACCCCTGCATCTGTCCCTCCGAGGAGGGTCTGCCCTCTGCTTCTCAGAACCCGAGGATGGGAGAGAGCACTCAGGACCTCAGCGGTGCCTCCAGCCAGGAAAGGCAGAATTCTGCTGCACTGCCAGGGAAGGAAAAGGTGTGGGCACCAGCAGACACAGCTTTTCTCATCCCCTCCGCCTTCTGCACATTTACTGTGGGGATGGAATTAGAGGAGAACCTTCTCTAATTCAGGGTACAAATCTTTTTTTAGGGGGGTAATTGATGATACTTTCTTTCCCCTAGAATTTTATATATTGTCCCAAATCTCACCTAAATAGTAATTTCCTACAGCAGCAATCCAATTTCTTTCAAGTGCATCTCAGACTTTCTCCCACCCGACAGCAGGTACGCGTTTCCCCTCATCTTACGGCGACGACGGCCTCTCTCCCCGTGAAATGGTCTTCAGAACCAGAGCTGCTGAGTCGCAAGCATCTTTGGCTAAGCCTCTGCTTGAATGTCTCTTGGGGCAGACTTCCTGTCTCAAGAGGCTCACACTAGTGGCACATTTGTGACATGTAGTAACATCAGTGATAACTTAGAATTTGGGCAACAGACCCTGTAGAAGGAGACTTGAGCCACACCGCCAAGCAGCAAGCAGGACGGTGATGGGAACCAATCTGTCTGGTCTTCTCTCCAGTTCCACTTTCCCTTAACCCCCAAGAGGGCAGGGAGAGACGCTCAGCCTTGGTGTTCGTGGGGGACATCAAAGCAGATTCCGGCCTTCTGGAGTCTCACGTGGGCAGAGGCCTTCAACGGGTCAGCAGGGGAACCCGCCCCGGAGACTCCGAGCTCAGCGCGCAGGAGGCAGCAGGCGCAGGGAGCCGGAAGCCGGGCGGGAGCCTCTATGCACCTGGACTGCGTTACAGGCCGTGAGCTCCTGACACCCAATCTGTGCTTCTCCAGGCCCTAGCGAAACGCGGCTGCCTCCATACTTGCCGTTATTTGGGTGGGTTTCGCATTAACTGGGGTTTTCCTCCCTTTTGATTCTTCTCTTGAAGGCTGGCTTCAGATGCTTCAAATCTACCCGCAGCCACGGTCACAGACCGGAGCCACGGGGGCTCAGGGTCAAAACGTGGCATAAAAGCCTTACACGATCCGGGGTTTAAATAATCGACATTAAAGGTGGCTACAATCAGATTGGCTGGTCTACAGGTTTCAGACCTACAGGAGCTCGGCCTAAGGACAGCCCCCGTTTAGCAGCCGCTGCGTTTTGTCAGTGCGTTACTGTAACAAGCGGCGCCAACAGGTGCAAGTGCCCGTGGAAGTGAAGGGAGCAAACGCTGCCCCTGCGGTGACAGAGGCCGCTGCAGAGACCCCGTGTGACTTCCTTTCCCCAAGAGCAGACGCACCTCATTGCCAGTGAACTTCCCCACAGGCCTGGCGGTCTGGAGCGGAGTGGGGTGGGGGCTGGGGCTGGGGCTCTCCGTAAAGCCCAGACCACAGGCTCTCGGCTCCGCCCTCCAGCCAGAAATTTCGGGGCAGGGCAGAGGCTGGGAAAGGTGGCTTTGTGTCCAGAGTGGGTGCCCACCCAGACGAACCCGGAGGCCCCAGTACCACAGCCGCCTTCCACTCCCGCACGTTCTTCTCAGGGAACAGGTGTGCGGGCAGCTGGGTGCTGCAAGGGACACAGTGCCCGCGGGGACCCTGGTGGCGCGAGCAGAACCTGCACCGGCAGGAGCAATGCCCACCGGCTTGTGAGCTCCCACCGCCGACGTGGGGGACAGCCGTGCCCAGCTTTCCAAGAGGGGCTTGCCACGTTGCCCAGCACTCTGTCCTGGACACAAAGCTGCTGGCGACTGCGACGGGGTGGCCCCCGGCGCTGACAAGCTCTTGCCCGGCCTCAAGGCCCACGGTGCCCCCTCCCTCTCTGGAGCAAGCAGCTGCCCCAGCCGGCGGGGTCCACGGCGGGAGACTGGTCCCCCCCAGGGCCGGCGGCGGGGGACGACCCCCCCAACCCCCCAGGGCCGTGCACAGCCAGGTGTCTGCGCCGAGCGGGGCGCCGGCCACAGGAGGGCAAGAGGCGCCCGAAGGGCCGGGGCTGCACCTCGCCGAGACACTCAAGACCGCCGAACCGCAACCGCTGGAGCCGCCTCAGTCCGGTCCGTCTTTCCATCACCAGAAAGAACCAGACCCGACCAACCCCCGCTTCCTGGGATGACCTCCGCCCCCGCCCGCCCGGGTCCCCAGCCCAAGCCGCGGGCCTACGGGCGCTGCGCTGTCCCGAGACCGTCGCGTCCCGCCCCGGGACCCCCGGCGGCTCCCCCAAGCGCCCACCCCGGGCCCTCACCTTGCCCTCCGGCAGCCATCTTGCCGCCCGGCCCCGCCCGCCGAGTCCTCCGCGATCCCAGCAGTCTCTCGGCTCCGCGCTATTCGCGTCCCTTCGGCCATTTTCGCTTCTGCTTCCGAAGGGGCCCGACCGCGCCGCCCTTCGGGAGTTGATTCCGATCCGCGGCCGAGGCCGGTTCAACCCGCCCGGCAGCGCTCGGGCACTTTCGTACAAGAGGAGGCGGAGAGCCGAGGCTCGGGCGTATCCGGGCTCGGCAGGGTTCGGCTCTGTTCGGCTCCGCCTCGGACGGACTCGGCTCCCGCTCGCGGCGGGGGCGAGCGGAGCCTGCGGCGAAAGGTTCTCTGGGCCCGGGCGCGCCGCGTCGGAGGCCGGCGAGATTCGGCCCCGCAGTCGGCTACCCCGTTGCGGGGGACGGCGGGTGGCGCAGGCCTCCTAGGCGCCGAGTTGGGGTAGCGCAGAGCCGCTCGGAAGTCCTCGTGCCGCCTCGGGCCAATTCGGACAGACTCGGCTCCGCGCTTCGGGCCGCTTCGGCCGTCCTCGGTTCCGGACTCTTGGCCGTCGGCAGGGCTCGACTGGGCCGCTTCGTGCCGGTTCGGCCCCTGTTCGGGCGGCCTCGGCTCGGCAGGGCGGGCGGCTTCGGCCAGGCTCGGCCCGGCTGGCAGCTTCGGGCGGCCTCGGCTCTGCTCGGGCGGCCCTGCTCGCGCGGCGCGCTTCGGGCTCCGTCCCGGCCTTCGGGCGGCCCCGGCCGACGCCTTCGGGCCGGCTCGGTGGAGTCCGGATGGAGGACTCGGACTCGGCCGCCAAGCAGCTGGGCCTGGCCGAGGCGGCGGCGGTGGCGGCCGCGGCCGCTGTGGCGGCGGCGGCCGCGGCCGCAGCGGGAGGCGAGGCGGAGGAGCCGGTGCTCAGCAGGGACGAGGATTCGGAGGAGGACGGGGACTCGGAGGCAGAGCGCGAGACGCGGCGGGTGACGGCCGTGGCGGTGATGGCCGCCGAGCCCGGGCACATGGACATGGGCGCCGAGGCCCTCCCGGGCCCCGACGAGGCCGCCGCGGCCGCAGCCTTCGCAGGCAAGTGCCGCCCGCCCGCGGTTCCCGCGCACCTGCCCCGCGCACCTGCGCGCACCTGCGCACCCGCGCGCACCTGCCCTGCATACACCTGCTGTGCGCGCCCCGGCGCCCCGGTTGCCTCTGCTCCCCCGACCACGTGCCTCCTGCATGCCTCACACCTACCTCGTGCGCCTTGACATTGCTGCACGCAGGCCCGCGTCACCGGCCCTGCCCGCCCACCCCGCACTCTTCCCGGAAACTGCCTCCCACACCTCTTTACCGTGTGCCAGCGCCACTCTCCCCTGTGAAGCATCCTGTACTCCTTCCAGAACCTTCCCTGCACCTGCCTCTCCCCCTCACTGACCTCTGCTCTGTCTCTCCCTGGCCACGCTGGGCAGGGACTCTCTCTGTCTCTCCCTGGCACTGGTGACCCTGGGGGCTGGGGAGTTAGGGGAGTGGGGATCCGATGTGGCTCCTGCCCCAGGGAAGCCTGGGGGTGCCTGTGTCCGGTCACCTGGAATCCTTAGGGCCAGCTCAGGGTTGACAAGACAGTGCTCACCCAGCTGGGGAGGTCCTGTGACCTTTGGGCGCATCATCCTTTGACTCCTTAGATTGCCGTCCTGGTCTGTTGCTGTCTGTCTCCCCACTCTGCCAGCCCAAAGATGGCAGAGACTTTCCCAGGTGTTGGACCCGGCCTAACTGGGAGCTCCCCAGTGGCCCTGGAGGCCTTGGGGACTCAGAGCTGTGTGTGGGAACCCTGGCAGAGCACCGTCGTGTTGCCAGCACACATTGTCAGGCACTTTCCCCTAGGAGCCTCCTGGCTTCAGGGACTGGACAGCAGCCGCTTCGGTCCTGGTTGTCCTGGTCACTCCAGGCGCTCATCCGGCCCTCAGGTGCAGGCCACGTCCTGCTTGCCCCCGCGCCGCTGCTCGGGTGTGGTCTGCTCAGGGTCCTCCCGAACGAGGGGAGAAGGCTTTGTGGCTATTAGAGTCTTTAGGTCTTGTCACTAAACTGGTTTAATATTGGGACTTGGGACCATGAAGTTTTTCTTTTTTTTTTTTTTTTTGTGGTTTTTGCGTGTACTTTTTGTGGATGCAGAAAAGAAATGTGATACCATTCATCACAGCCTCAGAGAAATGAGTTGTTTTCCTGCAAAATTTTACCGCGTTTTTACATACATGAAACCATTACTGCTTTTCTAAGTTCCTGAGGTCACGACTTTTCCAGGTGGAAGTAACCCAGCGGCATGTGAGGCCACCTCCCCTGGGCAGACAGCTGCTTGGCGGAGTCCGGTGTGTTCCGGTGGGGATGCCCTCGGCCCTCCTGCGGCGTGGTCTAGGGCAGGATGCAGACGCGGGACAGGTGTTTCAGCGCGGTGTGGGGGGCGCCGGCTTGATGGAATATGCAGGACTCTTCCAGGCCGTGTTTGTGGGTGTTTCCCACATGCCAGAGGCTGCCCCAGGAATGCGGTGGGACCCAGCCCCGAACGGGAAGGAGAGCCTCTGCAGCAGGCAGGGGCCAGGAGAAGGGGAGGTGGAGGAGGAGGACAATGAAGGGACCTGAGCCTGCCCTGTGCTGACCTGGAGAGGGGGGCCGGGAAGAGGGGAACTGTGTGTTGGTGATGTGGCAGGTGTCTGGTCACACGATGACCACAGCACGTGTGGAGCCTTGGTGTGTGGTTTTCTCCTAAAAGGGAGCAAGAAGCCCAGGGGCGACTCAGTGGGAGCATGGCAGGGGCGGTTTTCTCGACGGATGAAGGGCTCTAATGCTGGGAGAGCCTCTCCTCTCTCTTTTCCTGAGACCCGGGTCACCTAGGCTGCGGCCTAGAAGTGTTGGCTGAGCACTTAGTGTACAAATGTCGAGAGTCCCTTGGTTGGAAATGCAGACACCCGATGGAGAGACGCTGTTTTGGGGCCCAGGTGGGAGGCCCCCGGCTCTGATGATGTGCTGAGTCAGGCCCCTGTGTTGCAGAGGTGACCACGGTGACCGTGGCCAACGTGGGTGCCTCCGCAGACAACGTCTTCACCACGTCAGTGGCGAATGCTGCCTCCCTCTCGGGACACGTTCTGGTAAGCGGCCCTGCGAGCACTTTTCCCCAGACCCCAGAGCGCGTCTTCCCTGAGGCTGGCTCTCCCAGCGGCCTGCTCTGGGTTCCCTGGGGGCCTGGAGGCTTGTGGCTGCGCCCTTCCCTCAGGCTGTGCTCGGGTCTCCCGGTCCTTGCCCGATGACCACACCACATGGGACTCTTCTGGAGCTTTGCCGCAGCTCTTAGTTACGGTTTCTTTTTTCTTTTTTTCTTTTATTTTATTTTATTTATTTATTTATTTGTCAGAGAGGAAGAGAGAGAGAGCGCACACAAGCAGGCAGAGAGGCAGAGACAGAAGCGGGCTCCCCGCTGAGCAACGAGCCCGATGTGGGACTCGATTCCAGGACGCTGGGATCATGACCTGAGCTGAAGGCAGAGGCTCAACCCACTGAGCCACCCAGGCGCCCCTTAGTCACGGTTCCTTTCTAGCCTTGGTCACACACCTGGGGCGCTGTATCCCTGGAAGCAAAGTCACTATTGTTGGCCACAAACAGCCCACTCACACTCGGAGTCACAAGCGCAGACCGCAGAGTTCACAACCTGCTTCATTTCTTAGGGAGTTGAACACACACGAGCCAATAGGTGATCATTTCACTCCTCCAACTGGTCTCTCCTTCCCAGCAGCAGATTGTGGGCTTTTCTAGAAGAGCCTGGAGTCAGAGGGTCAGGGAGCTAGGGAGGACCGTCCTGGGTGTGGTGCTCGCAGCAGTCTCTGAGGACAGGAAGACCTGGGGACTCCATGTGATCCTGCTGGAAACTGAGAGGGAGCCAGCCCTCCAATATCTCTGGACTCTCGTTGGCCTCAATGAGGAAAACGTTTCTGTGATTCGTAGCTGAACACGGAACGTTCCCTTTTACACAGAGGGTTGCACGTCCTCAGTGATTCCGACACGAGCCGTGTGGACGTGCTTAAGCAAGACAGTGACCCTCCAGGTGTATAAGCCCAGGTCCTGGGTGTGTGCGCAGGTGTGTGTGCATGTGTTCGGGGTGGGAGCTGCTACTTACCTTCCCTGATTGGATTTTCAGATGTAAGGGAAGTTCTTTTTTTTTTTTTTTAAAGTTTTTATTTATCTGTTTGACAGACAGAGATCACGAGCAGGCAGAGAGGCAGGCAGAGAGGTGGGAGGGAGGGAAGCAGGCTTCCCAGGACCCTGAGATCATGACCTGAGCCGAAGGCAGAGGCTTTAACCCTCTGAGCCACCCAGGCGCCCCAAGGTGGCCATTTGTTTTCTTGTTCTTTCCTTCTTTTTTTCTTCCCTTCTTTCCTTCTTTTCTTTCTTTCTTTTTAAAAGATTTTACTTACTCATTTGATAGACCGAGATCACAAGCAGGCAGAGAGGCAGGCAGAGAGAGATGGGAAAACAGGCCCCCGCTGAGCAGAGAGCCCGATGCGGGGCTCGATCCCAGGACCCTGAGATCACGACCTGAGCCGAAGGCAGAGGCTTAACCCTCTGAGCCACCCAGGCGCCCCAAGGGAAGGTCTTTTTAACTTGCCTTTGTGGGTTCTGTTCTCACCAGGAAGCATCAGAGCAGCCCAGGTGCTGGGTTTGAACCGGCCGCTTGGAGTGAGTGACGCCCACCCCAGGGCTGTCTGGACAAAGCCTTGAGAGTTCCTTTGCCGGAGCCCTGTGAGGCGGGCGCCTAGGGACAGCAGGGACAGGAGGGGGCTCCTGGCTCGCCCGGGGAGCAGGGCAGCTTGAAGGACGAGGCCAGGCTGACCCAGAGGAAGCAGGTGCTGTCATTGTAGCCCCTGGCCACCGTGGCCAGGTGTGTGAGCAGTGCGGCGGGGGTGGTCCTGGTATGCAGTGGCCATTGGCAGAGCTGTGCTTGGGCACGGGTGTGAGAAGGGAGTCCCGTGCCAGACCCCGGCTGTGACTGTGCTTGGTTTCTTGGGACCCTCCCTAGAGACCTGTGAGCATGCAGAGGCTGCTCAGGTAGACGGGGGGCACTTTTCCCAGGGTGTCTTTATGGGACGTGCCCCTTCTTTCCCTTGGGCAGGTGGTGGTGAGTGTTTGCACAGGGCCTCCCAGGCAGAGCATGGCCCTTGTGCTTGGCCCTGTGTTTAGGGTCTTAGGGGCACCTGAAGTCCAGTGGGGGGCCCTTGTTGTGGTGGTTCGCAAGGACCAGGGGCCAG